TGTGCGAAGGATACCAGCGCAGGCCTCTTCAGTAATCAGGCTCAGGCTAGCCGTGTCGAATCCTCCGGAACAATTCTTAGTGGATCGTATGCACACACGATGACATAAGTGTAGCAGAGGCCACCAGAAAACCAACAGCCGTCGTGGCATTCTTAACAGGGAGCCGCACAAACCTTGCCCGACTCCCTGGTTCTCAGCATTTCAGCCCTGGCTGGGCGTTCTTGAGCTCTATGTTCTGTGGCGAGCAACTCTACTGTACATGCGAATTTGTTACAAGTGGAGTTGCACTTAGACTTGGGTTTGAATGGCAAGCCGCCAATGCTTGCTACGCTGATCAGTCATAACCTCTGTAGAGTGCAGGGTCAGGGTATGCCACACCAGTCTGGGCTTTCTCACACTACTCGTATTAGCAAGAGTCCAAACTCCAAAACCATAAAAAGTGTTATCACTCCCTTTGTATGGACTCCCATAGATTTTTGCTATACCTAAGCAGTCAAATATTCCTGCATATTTGACGCCTTAGGGCTATATTGACCGCTTATATTTGACTCCTTTTTAGCGATCGAACACATGCTTTGGTTAGTCGTGATAAATCTAATATTGACTTCGTACTTGGTCAGTATAGGAAATAAAACACCTCGTAAAAGACCTCGGCTTCGCCTCAGTCTTTTACTCGGCTTTTATTTCCTATATTGACCTCGTACTCAGTCAATATTAGATACGGTCATAATGGGTCAATACGAGGCATGTTGCCTTCATTAAAGGGGCACTCCGGCTTCATTTTCGACGCCGAGTTTTCGATGCCAAGACGAAGGTAGGTGAAAGAGAAGACCCCTCGAACAAGAACGAGTCTCCAGAAGCGATCGAGTCGAGCAGGAAGACGACTTTTGAATTTCGCCGAGCGAGCGCTGATGACGTAATGAGGGATTAGCTTGCCAGTGGAAATGCATCTGCGCACATACATTTCACACACTTTTTGGCCAATTTTCAATCGAAGAGGAGGTTGTTTGCTATGTTCTCTCAACGTCGTGAGCGATCCCGTCTTCTATACCCTTCCAGGTACCCTGAAGGTCCTCCAGAGGAGAATTTATCTCCAGCAACGCGTTGTTGATCCGCTAAATTCGTCTCGAGACATATTCACCCAGTGCAGTGCTGATAAATGAAGAATGTTGAATCTGTGATAATTGTCGACGATGGAGAGAGAGGTTGATAGCCGCTGTCGCAGGGAAAGTGAAGCTGCTGGAAGTAACAATGGGGGCGGCTTGTTAGCATCACATGAGCATCCAGACTTCAAAGCAGCTTGACGGAATCGGGGAGTACTGACTATTTGTCTCGATCTCAGTATAGTGAATTTTATGACCAGGAATTATTCGATCAGGATCCCTTCTACAAGATGTGTAGTACAGGTGATTTCTGAACTTGACGATATGGAGACGGACCAGTAGACCTACCAACAACGTGTACCTGCAGGAAATTCACCCAAGGCTATTGCTATCCTCTTCAGTGGCTGTTGTTTTTTTAGTAAAAATATGTTGACTTCTCTCAACATACTCCTGCATGGCAGCAAGAAGGTGCGCTATGGAATTCAACGCCACAATCTTCGCCCAGCTGTGGATGAAGCATGGTCAAGTCATAGCAGTACATATACTTGAAACAGATGAGAAATTGAAGTTCCGATGTATGTGATTTGTGATGGGAAGTTTGACAGCCCCAGTGACCGAGTCAAGCGTTGTCTTTTGCCGTGGCACAAATTGCTGAAGAATCTGAGATGGTCTTGGAATTATACTACCAGAAATAATGGTGGCATGAACCATTGTGGAATCGGACAGCTCATGGAGAATACTGGAATAGCTCAAGTATCTCTAGGTGATTGTAAATCCTGTTCTGGCTGATAGCTTCGGCCTGCTGCGCCCGTCCATGTACAATGATGGTAACATGCATTTCTGTTTTCTACATATTTGCCGGCTACTGTACGGTGGTATTACAGCTGCGGGTCCCTTATATAGAAATATGGTCACCCTCCCGCCTCCCATATGCCCACATTATAAATATGAACTAACAATTTCACTGTTGGACTCGCCGGCGGCTAGAGAGCAAAGGATTAATTTATAGCAAAGAAAAGAAACAGGGAACTACAAGTTACGCTATAATGTCCACGAACAATTTCACTGTATTTGAAATAATTTTGTTTGATACCCTGAGAACTCTGAAACTTTGCAGCACTGTGGATTATATGTGGATACAACATTTATGGAAGGAAAAGTGGAATAATTTCGAACACATTGTTCGAATAATTATAGCACTGGATTGTTGAGATTGTGAGCACATTCCAATCAGCACTCTACATATTTATAAGCAGTGGCAATCATTAGGAATAGGTCATGAGTTGTCAGAGTGCTCTAGTAAATGAGAGAATGTTTTGTTTGTCTAATCGACGGCTCGTTTGAAGCCAGAGTTGTTTCCGTCGACTTGATTCTAGACAGTAGTCGAAGGAGTACTATGAAGTATACACCAGACGTGGTCCGTAAGGTATCTCGTGAGAATTCTGTCGGTACACATCAGGTATCAGCTTGCAAAGATGGCTCCTCTCTGTTTCTTGAAAGCCTGTATAGTTGGACTGTGGCTCCAGCGATTCCCTTCTCAGAGCAGATACCATACCCAATACGGTCAATGCATATCGGATAGACCTGTGTGCACAACGGAAATAGTGGAGAGAAATCTCTCAGCTCATGAACACATCAGTGAAGTTTGAACTGCCGTTGTTTGTGGCCATCAGTATAAACCTATCGACTATAAGAATAATGTGCAAAAAACCTCTATAATTACAGCTGGGGCCATGGAATTATAAAGCATCTAACTTAGGGAACTGCAAATTCTGGTCTGAGTTGCGTTCGAGGCCTGCAATTCATGATGGCTATCGTATGTTGCATTGACCAGAGATCATATAAAACTTCCAAATGCCACATAGAAACACGCACCACTTTCGAGTACTTTGGTATCCCATGCCAAATGGGCATTCGTTCCCGGGGTGGCAGGCGTCACCATTCGTTATGCCTGGATCAGATTCCATTGACCCCAACTGTCATGAAGAATCATTTTTACTTTGACTGGATTTCAGTACCAGTTGTAGAACTGCAGAATCAATTTCGTTGTATTTGGGCAACCATTTCTCTACAAACGCTCTATTTGGAAAATATAATACATGTCCAAATTCCACATCTACCCAAATCGGCCTACCTACTTGATCACGTATTCAGTACTACACGGAATGTTTAGAAAACGCATGAGGGAATAAGAATTTGCTAACGAGAACTCCAGGCCAGGGTACTAGCATACGAACAAAACAAAATAAAAACTCACCAGCATATTTGTAGTAATTTATGTCGGTGTAATATTCACGATAAGCAACGAGGCACCCTCCGATTTGGTCAAGCTGCTTTGAAGTCTGGTTGTTCAGGTGATACAAAAGGGCTCCCCGTTGTTACTTCCAGCAGCTTCACTCTCCCTGCGACAGCGGCTATCAGCCTCTCTCTCCATCGTCGACAATTATCACAGATTCAACATTCTACATTTATCAGCACTGCACTGGGTGAATATGTCTCGAGACGAATTTAGCGGATCAACAACGCGTTGCTGGAGATAAATTCTCCTCTGGAGGACCTTCAGGGTACCTGGAAGGGTATAGAAGACGGGATCGCTCACGACGTTGAGAGAACATAGCAAACAACCTCCTCTTCGATTGAAAATTGGCCAAAAAGTGTGTGAAATGTATGTGCGCAGATGCATTTCCACTGGCAAGCTAATCCCTCATTACGTCATCAGCGCTCGCTCGGCGAAATTCAAAAGTCGTCTTCCTGCTCGACTCGATCGCTTCTGGAGACTCGTTCTTGTTCGAGGGGTCTTCTCTTTCACCTACCTTCGTCTTGGCATCGAAAACTCGGCGTCGAAAATGAAGCCGGAGTGCCCCTTTAAGCTGTGTTCACAACTGGCGCGTGGACGCGGTATGCTTGCGCTTCATGCGTGCCCAAACGCGCACTCAGCCTTCCACAAAAAAACAGCAATCCGAGTCGTAGTTAGCGCATGCGACACCTTAGAGTCCTAATTTTTTGACCCCGCCAGTCAAAGTGACTGGCATGTACGCTGGTACGCGCTGAAAATTCCAACATGTTGGAATTTCCATTTCGGCGCGTCTCCGTACGCATGGCGCCCCAAAAGCCAGCAAAAATACGCACAAACACGTGGTTTCACGCGTACACGCGCCAGTTGTGAACACAGCTTTACACAACGTTCCAGCATCATACCTGCAACACCACCTGCACTCATGCACTCAAACTCACAATCTCCCTTGCCAGAAAACTAGGGGTGAAACGAGTATCTACTTTGACCAATCGATCACTCGTTCATAATATTCGATCAAGTATCCGATTATTTCGAGTACTTTATCAAAATTCAAAAGCACTAGATTTGCGAGTTCTCGACCAATTCGGAAGAAATTATCTGTGAACATAGAACAAAAGTCGCCAACGTCTTGTACAGAGTGTAAAGTAACGATTTTCATCAGTACTTTCATATCTCAGAACGTTACTCGCCGCGCGTGGTGATCGCATCGTCCAAGTCTTAAAATACTGACTCAAAGGCATGCATAACGCATGCATACCGGTGGACCAGCGGTACAACAAAAGTTTTTTGAAAAATACAATGCCAATACTTCGATCAAGTGCAAAATTTCGAATACTCGCTCGTTTGAAATTTTCGAACGAATACTCGAATATTTGAACTAATCGTTCACCTCTACAGAAACCCCATTCTGCTTGATTTGCGCGAGTACCCGCACGATAATCATAATAATAATAATAATCACCTTAATTTTGGGTGCACGACCTTCAGTTGGTGATGAAAGAAGAGTATTACCCCCCCCCCCCCCTCTCTCCCTCCCTCCCTCCCCTCTTTCCCTGGCAAAAGGCGTACAGCAACTCCACCGGAATTTCCTACAGGGCAAGTAGACGGCAAATAGTAACATATTACAGAGCAGTGTCTTTGCTGTGTGTACAGGTATCCTGGACGGTTCAGCAAAAAGGAAAAGAGAGAAAAGTGCACTCCCAGAAGGAAACATGCGCACATGCGCACTCCATTGTACAAAAATAAACTTTCTGGGGTGGCACACAACGTGTTGTGAGCTTCACTGCTGAAAACCCAGATGCAGAACTGCACACCCGTGGGCACTAGTAGTTATATTTGTACTCTTGCATGCAGGAATACATGTAGGTCAAGCAATGACATCGTGTCCATAGATGGCGCGATGTCACCATACTAGTTGACAGCACGGCCGTGTGACAAGCGTGTGGCGACTGCAGTGCGCTACTACTGCTGAACAGCATCCGAGCACTGCAATCCACAAAAATCTGTGTGCCTCTCATCACACACTACTCGACCCTAGTGAGAGGAGCATCAACGTGTACCCTCCTCGCACACACACCAGCCACACATAGAGAGTGATACAAACACCAGTAAGACAGCAGCTATACAGACTGCACGCCACGGCGAGGAGGACCAGCCACTACGCATTCCTGCCAACACGACGTGGCCAGCGTGGACACATGCCGTACACATGTCGCATGTATATGCCGGACTCCCAAAAAAAAGAAACACACACACACCTGTGTGAGTGGCAGGACTCAAGTTCGTTCGAGCGAGTTTAACCATGGAGCTGGGCAGCTTGAACATAGGTGCTGACGATATTCACACGCCGCACTGTGTACAACTAGTCGCCTAAGCTTCTTCTTGCTCTTCAACTTGCCGTACCAGACCGGTGCCAAGGATACGGAAGTCATCCAGCGCTGCTGCCTTGTTGAAACAGACTGTAGTTGGGACAGCATCGTTGCTTGCCGACTTGGACTTCTTACCCTGAAAAAGGGTGACACCAAGGAGAGAGAGAGAGAGAGAGAGAGAGAGAGAGAGAGAGAGAGAGAGAGAGAGAGAGAGAGAGAGAGAGAGAGAGAGAGAGAGAGAGAGAGAGAGAGAGAGAGAGAGAGGGAGAGAGAGGGAGAGAGAGAGGGAGAGAGAGATAGATAGAGAGAGAAAGAGAGAGGGAAGGTGATAAAATTAGAATATGAAATCAGTAGATCAGGAGAACACATAAATGTTTTAAGAGTTTGACACACCCAGAGCATCCCAACTACACATCATGGTGCACAAACAGCCTAACCAATGGCAAAAGCTGAACGTCATGTATCATCGACCACATCCGTGCCGCAATACGGGCACTGTTTTTTAAACGATTTGAGTGAAAAAGTATTTTCTATACGATAGACTTCAGTCTGGCCAGTTTGTAAATTGCGCTCCTCAGTCCGGTATACACACTAATTGTTTTGACTTGACACTCTGCTAGAACAATCGGACAGGTTTGGAAATGGTCAAAGCTGTCCCCTGCCAAAAATGACGAACTGATAGCAATGGATTTTTCGCCGTAGCCAGATTCAACCAGGCCCAAAAGTACCACACAGAAAATCTCATGTCAGGACCACTTGTTCATTTTAAAAATAGCAACACCAAAGTTGTTTACTTTACCTTCTTTGGAGCAGGGACAGGGCAGAAACCACTTGCTGTAGAAATCTGTGCAAATCACACAAAAATGAACAAGTAATTTAAAAGACAAGATGGAATGAAATACTTCAAACTTCAAGGCCTTTTGAATCCAGCCACTACCAAAGTCTCCGAACGTACAAAGCCAGCGCTACAAATGATACATGTATCGCTCACATGTCACAGATGCAC